GCTGATGGCACCACGCGACGGCCGATGTGGCATGAGAGTATTGTTAGTTGTGTAGGTCATGCTTGTACGAGGGCTGGGATACTGCCAGGGCGCCCACACCTAGACAGGAGGACCTGGAGGAGGTCCTCATCCAAAGCCTTTGACTCAAAAGCGTAACCGCAAGGCAGCGGTGTTTGGCGGGGGAATGCGGTACACGTCGTCATACATGTTCCAACCCCCAACCTGGAGGGCCAGGAGACTGTGTTTGTCAGATCTCTAACCATTGACCAACCTGGTATGAGAGACTCTGTGAGTGTCGCGCGGACACCACCCAGTATAGCTCAATGGGTCCCCGAGGTACACAAACCGCCACACCAGGGTAAGGTCCAGTCTCTCCGTGACGGACTCCCTTAGTCAGGATTTACCAAGTAAGTCTAATCAACCTAATCGCTTCTGTCGAACGTGAGTCTGAGCCAGGCGGATAATTCCCCAAAAAATTTCTCGCTTTTGAGCACTTGCAAGCAGTGGACATCAAAGTGAAAGCACTCCTGAATCGGAACTTGTTACATGAGAGCAGTAATAATGATAATAATCATTCAGCTGTAGCACCCTTTCTGTTCCTAACTGTCATGCCACCAGAAGGAAACACGAGGGCTGGGATACTGCCAGGTTGCCCAAACCTAGACAGGGGAAGTCGAGTAGCGAAGGTCGGACTCGAACCACGGACCTTCCGGTTAGTAAATTCGCGCTCTAACCACTTGAGCCATCTCGCCCCGATTGGGAAGGTGTGCAGCATGACATGCTGGGAGTGTGTCTAGAGGTAAAAACATAAACCATCCCACAGCCTCAGACGTGAAGATCGAAATGCTTGTGAAAACATTATAATTATACAAAATAAAACGGCACAGCAAGAAGAGGAGATCATCTTTTCTTGAACCCATACTTCTTTCGCTCATAAAACAAATCCGTTTTCGCACTTCCCAAGTTGACTATCTTTGGACACCCGTCACGCTGAAAGCAAGATACAATATACAGGACATTGAAGAAAGCAACATACATCTTTCTCCATGCATGTACACTGACGACAGTAATAAGCATCCGACACTCCGGGTCCACCGCAAATCACACATCGTCCTTGGTACGACCCATAATTGCACTCGTCACATATCCGAACCAAGGTGCAAGGTCGAACATAGGAGTCGCAGATTACACACTTACCATCACATTTCTCACAAAGTCGCCCAATTGCTAGCAAAACAAATGTGAGAGGTGCACTTCAGCTTACCAACGCCGGGCTGTTTCCGACAAAAGATCAAGTCTGGATGGTGCTTCGCCATGTATAGGAAGTAAACAGCTGGAGCAGAAGGTAAAGGAATAAGGTGGATAAATATGGTCAAGTCTTATGATTAACTCAGGACAAGATACAACTTATATCACATTGGTTGCGGTACCCGCACTGTAGTCAACAAGTGGACATTTACGAAAGGCGAAAAAGCTAAATCACCCTGCTAAGCTTAAAGCGATCACACTCCAATAAGTATATCCCGATCTAAAGCTACCACCTTGAAGTGGTGGTCGGGCTTGAATGCTGCAATGATCCCGCGGGTTACATTGGCTGGAACTTTGTTCCACAAGGTTCAACCATGCCAGGAAGACCAAAGAGGAGCAGTGAGACCCCCGTACTACAGTAATCGTGCTACGAGAGGTCTGGGGGTAAAATCGTACTATCCTCAGCGATAGGAGTATGAAGGAAGTAAGGTGTTTCCCTCAGGCGACCAGCATGTCCATATTTATGGAAGCGACGATGCTGCCTTCCCCCGAGGAAGGACGGGTTAGAAGAGATCGGCCCGAAAACCGCACACTCCGATCACCCAAAGATTGACCGTGACCACCGGCGCATTGTTCAATAAGATCGAAATACTCTTAAAACCAGAGTCTCTCATACCAGGTTCGTCCATGGGTAGAGGTCCGACGAACA